AATTTTTAAAACCATAAGACACTTGAGTATTCTTCCATTACTTTGCCTTTAAAAAAAAAATCATTGTCTCTCTACAGCTTAGCAACCATGTTGAGGTTCCAAGTTGTTATTCCTGTTTTACTGATAAGGAAGCTAGGGTTGAGGAAAATTTAGTGACTTCTCTCTAGTTGTACTCCTGGCAAATGCTGGAGTCAAGATTTATTAGAACTTTGGTAGGCTGGTCTCTGAAGTCCTGTAACCTGTCCTATGTAGGATAAAGGGAGGGATGGGAGGGCTTCCCCCTCCTTTCCTTTCCTTGGAAGTCTTCATTGAAATTTTTTGTCACACTGCTATACAAAACTATATCCATGTTAATGGAACTAACCACCCCTACCTTAGTCCTTTCTTTGAAGCCGCCCTTAAGCTAAGAGATTGTTTGAATCCTGTTATTCAGGCTAGATTTATTTCAGGCTAGCTAAAATGTGAGCTCTGAATTGAAATGGTTTTCTGCCCTGTACCTAACTTGTTTTTCTGTACCATCCGTTTATGTACCTTAGCACAAAAGCAGAAGTTCCATTTCAAATTAAGATATACGCCTGTCTTAATAAAAATGTTACCCTGTTCTTACATTGCTAAATTATCCTAATATCCCTTGTCTTCCTTCACATCCTATATTTTTATTGGGTCCCCTTGTGGTTTGAAATGGGAGAGAGACAGACTTAAATGTTACTTTTCTACGTCCCTAGAAATCAGACTGAAGAGTTTTAAAGTGTGTGTGTATTTTACAGAGAAAGAGAGAGAGAATGTGTGTGTGTGTGTGTGTGTGTGTGTGTATGTGTGTGGTGGGGGGATTAGAAGAGCATATTCTTGATGGCCATTAGGATCGTAACTCTTGTGGGGCTTTTTGGTGCTCCTACCCTATTTATAAAAGTGTCACAGCCTTTAGCGTTTGCTCAGAAGATAGTCTCAAGAAGCCATTATCTTTGTGTACATATTAAACTAACTGGGCTTCTTTGAATCATAAAACCTGAAATTTTCTTCATTAATTACATGATTTCACAGATTTTTTTTAAATTGACTTTTCATGAAACTTAAAAATGCCTATCACTGCGAGTCCTTACCAAGCTATGGGAATCTAATGGGAGAGAAATAATACTGGAAGAGGCTATATACAGGACTTTAATAGAACTTTATTCTAGGTCTCTTTGACAATAGTGTTATCATTTCCTGGTGGCCTCCTTTTAGGTAATTATATGCTTTGGTTAGTGGCAGTGTAAACATGAGTGAGTAAAAGTCAGTTATGTCTTAAAAGATGCCTGTTTCAGTTGGGCGAAGTGTTGCTGAGATCTGTGTTTTGAGATTGATTCCTTTTTAACTGATGAGTTTATTCAGTTTTAGAGCCTCAGATAGGACCAAAATGTCCCAACTAGCTCCATCCCCACTAGGAAAACCTCAAAGTGTGCCATCCTGGTGACAGGACATTAATTAGTTTGATTTTTGCATGTGAAGGCTGATATTTTTTCCTCTTTTTCTCAGTAACTTTATCTTCCCTTGGGAGAATCAATGCTAGGAAATATTTTTACCTTTCTGAAAGTACACCAGAAAGGAAGCTTGTTATCTTAGAATAGTATATATTTACCTGGCATGGGTTTGGGTGTGCAGCTTGCCTGAATGTGCAGTTTCTACCGTATGTAGGAACTTTAAAAACTTTTTAAAATTTATAATGGGAAAAGCAAGGTCATGAGCCTACACCAATCTGATTGAAATTGGTCATCTCTACCCCTGGTTCTGTAATGTTCCAGACTGTCTCTTTCTAAAAAGGTGTCAAGAAATCCAAAACATATCGAAGAAATAATTTATTATAGATACTATATTGTCTCTGACAATAGGGGTGGAGTGAGAAAGCTTACAAAACTGAAACCAAGAAATAATTTGGTATTACTGCTGTTAAAGGTGTTTTTGGGCGAGGGGGGGGGGTTGATGAAGGCACCAGGAGGGGATCTTCTGGTATAGCTTTGGGACCCAAATCAAATTGATTCTGCTAAGCTGGTATCTTGTCAGAACCACACTTTCCAGAACCTACTCTATTTGAATGGCTTCTCCTTGTACAACCAGGGCCTTGGTGAGAATATGAACTGAGCTACTTTCCAGCCAAATGCCTGAGGACTAAAGAATTTGCTTCAGCAGAACGATCTGAGTCTCTTGGGTTCGGGGAACTGGCCCAGGAGGCTATTCAGAGACAGCTGAGGGTCGGAGATGGCTGACACAGAAACTCCACATCTTCTCTACACTAACTGACCCCCTTCCCTCCTAACCAACAAAAACAAATTCCCACCTTCCCCACATATATTGTGCTGTAGAGTATTATTTTTGAGACTGATGCTGTTCTGATAAAACAGTGAAATTTCTGCATCTAGGGCTAATGACTGAAATGGACCAAAGATTAGATCCTAGCTGAGCTGTAAAAAATAAGTTTATTTCAAAAGCTAGTTTATCCACTATCCTAGAATATGGAAATATGATTCAATGTCACTGTGAGTTAATTTTAACAAACTAGTATAACTTGTAATGACACCAAAGATTCAGGGGGAAGGAACTATGTGACTCTTCCTAAACAAATATACTCTTTCTTTATAGCAGAATTGATGATGAGTTTGTAAGTTTCTAAGTGACTTAAATATAGGATATTAAATTCCCACCAATTCCCCATTTTCCAGAAGCTGTATTCATTGGTCAGGAAAATGGAAGAAGAGGTGAAAAGTAAATTAGCTTCTTCAATCCTGGAGGTGCTCCCTTCTCATCATCCCGGTAATTCATATTTGTAAAGAATGTCTGTTATAAATGGCTTAAGTAGTGGTCTTGCTTAAAGGCAGGTGCTTAATGAAATTACTTCTCTTGCCTTGGACCCCCGCTGCCAGGCATTGCTAAGTTCCTTATAACTTTCATACTCTTCATAAGTAAAGAATAAGAGCTCTTGTTTACATAGTCTTCATGAGAGACTTCAGGAAAACAGTTTACCCTTGATTAAAAATTGCCCTGTATTTTAAGCTTTTATGTTTCAAGAGCTCTAGGGATTTTCATGTTCTGTTTGCTCTTAACTAAATCTAGCTCTTCACTGTACCTTGTCTCCACTACTTCTCCTCTCTGGGTAACATTAACATTTTACCGTTTAAACCTTCACTACAAATGAAATAGTTCCTTAAACATTCATTGATGTTTTTAATTTACTGATGGGACAGCCATATTTAGAATCTAGTTTTTAGGAATTCATTCAGCAAATATGAAATGCCTACACTACGAATTGGATCACCTTTCTCCTGACCAGGAGAATCCAGTTAAACCTAGCCTGAACAGCATCTTCAGAGCTCTCCTTAGTCTCTCTAGTACAGGGGTTCTTAACCGTAGGCTGTGAGCATGTTTTTAAAAACAGATGTTTTCTAACTATATATTCAGTTTCCCCTTATGTATTTTATGTGTTTAAAAAGGTTTTATTCATTCATTTATTTTTTAGTGAGGCAATCGGGGTTAAGTGACTTGCCCAAGGTCACACAGCTAGTACATGTCAAGTGTTTGGTCTGAGGCTGGATTTCAACTCAGGTGCTCCTGACTTCAGGGCTGGTGCTCTATCATCTGCGCCACCTAGCTGCCCCTAAAAACAAGTTTTCTGGAAAAAAAAGTTCAGAGGTTTCATACTACTGCCAGAAGCATCCATTACCCATGCCCTAGTACTATGCATTGGCTCCTTAAGTGTCAGTGGAAGAAGAAAAAGAATTTAGCCAAGACAAACTGTTTTGCCTTCCTGCTGTGGGTTAGAGAAACTAGGTCTGTGTGCTTTCTGGAAAAGAGGTTGTGGGATCTAGGTTGTGTGCCAGGGGACTTACCCGAAGTCCCTTCAGTTGTCCACGCAGCACACTCTGAAGGTAGTACCATCTCTGTGAAGTCAAATAGGAATAGTTTTTCAGAAAGCCTGATGTGAAATGTCAAGGTTGGTTGATTAGAGAAGTTTATAGTTTCTCTCTCATGACAAAGCTTGTTTGGACCTTCCTCTTAGAATGTCATGTAATAGTCATTCAGAGGTGATTTCCTTCAAACCAGTACTGGTTTACTTGACTTTCCTCCCATGGGAGAATGGATGGGTATCTTCTAGTCCAGAAGGGGAAAGAGCAAGGCAGTGAGGCAGAGAACCACCTCTGCATTCTGAGGAATGTTTCCTGTCTGAGCCAAGGAATTCTTCATACTCATAATGATTCACCAGTGTCTCATGCTTGGTTTTCAGAATGCTTTATTCATAACAACCTTTTAGATACATAGATATCATTGCCCCCATTTGAGTCTCTGAAATGTTAGGCTATTTACTTACCTGTGGTCACACAGCTAGTCAGGTGTCTGAAAGCAGGATGTAAACCCAGGGTTCTGGATGCCTCCGTTTTTTACTTTTTCCATTAATGATCAGGCAGAGGTATGGGAGAGTTTTAATTAGGAAAGAATGATGCAGTGAGGTGACATTGCTGCCATAAGATCCTACCTGGAAGGGAGCTCTGAGCCCATCGAGTCCAGTTCCCTTATTTTACATGTGAAGAAATTGAGGCCCTAAGGAAGACCCTTCATTGTCACATAGAAAATAAGTGCCAGGATCAGTTTTCAAACCCCTTGGTCATTCTGTGGTGACCCGCCGTCTCAGGTGTGCCCACATCAGGAAGCGGGCTTTCAAATCATTTGTTTCCCTGGCAGCCACCTCAGACACTGCCAGGGTTAATACCTGGGAAGGCTTTGCTTCCCTTGAAAGGAAAAGCACTGAAGAGTTTGTAATGAAGTGTGACTTGGAGCTCATGGGTGGAGAGATTGTTATTGACTTCTCCTTTTTAAATATATTTCACATACGCACTTAAAATTATCTGCTCTGCAGGAGTAATTTACCAAAATGTTCATTGTGCCAAACTTAACACTAAAATGAAAATAAAGGGCAAAGTGGGGAGGAGGTGAAGGTGTTCATTCTGAGTTCCTTAACTCTAGTCACTTAGCTATACACAGAATGGTATTTTGCACATGTTGGACAGAAATAAGAGAATCAAACCCCGGCCAGAAAGATTCCAGAACTGTAAAGATTTGTTTGATCTCATCCTTACCTGTGAAGAGAGAGTCTATGACCAGGTGGTAGAAGGTAAGAATATTAATTAACATATGCTTCACAGATCATTTATTTGACATATGTTCTTGGTTAGAAGCAAAGTCAGTTCCTCAGTGGAGCCCAAGGAAAAAGAATATTCAACAATTCCAGCAAAAGGGAAAAAAATAAAAGACAGTGACCTCATTGGTTCCTTTGACTATTTGAAAGACTTTAAGACCAATGTGTTTTATTTATTCTCTGCTCTGCTTTCCCATTTAGAGTCAGTTTGCTGCATTTTCTGTGTTGCTACAAGCTAGCTACCAGTTAAAGCAAGGAAAGATCCTCTTGGTTCCAGAGAGGCAGCTTTGAGATCCATCCTAAGTTCTAATGATGAGATTTCACCATTCCTGATGCTAAATGCTGTGGGCCCATGGGTGGTTGTGCTACAGGAAGAGAAAGAATGATGAAGGGGGGCCGGCTCATCCATAACAGAGCTCCAGTCCTTGGTTCATTGGCCAAATGAAATCCATATATAATCCTTTCTTCCTCTTACCAGCTGAAGCCTTTGTACCCTCATTACCAGATAGAAGTTAGCCAAAAACTGAAATGAAGAAGTGTGGAGTTGGGGGAGGGGGGGCGGCAGGGAGCCAGGGGCCTGAATAACTGAGTGTCAGAGACTCATTGACTGTTGAAGCTGGGAGGAAAGGACCTTGGGGATTACCTAGACCAACCAGCCCATTTTATAGGTATAGAAATTTAATCTATTTTCTTTGATACCATGAGACTGTATTTATTTGGCCCACTTCTCATTAAACCCAGATGAATTGTTTGGGGATTTAACAACCCTGTTTCATGTGAGCTCACTTCCTCCCAGAGAATACAGAAATGGCTATGTCTAGATTGGGGCTGAGCACAGTCTTGACCCATCAGGCGTGTTCTTTATGTTATTTAAAAAAAAACAAAAAAACATTCTGGTTGCAGTTTTTAAGGGGATAGGTCCTGTGTGGTATGGATGGATCGTGTGAGAGTTGAATCATCTTTAGAAACTTAGCAAGTGAACGGTGAAATTTGGTATTTGAGAGCTCATCCATGCTGTACCGTGGCATCTCAGCTGCATAGGTAAAGCACGGAATCTGACAGAGGCTTGTGCTTATGATTTTTGAGGAAGCACGTGGAGTTTCCTGAGTTCTCCCCCTCCTTGGTATGTCCTGAACTCTGGAGGCCATGTCTAATTGCAGGATCCCCTTTTAGGGAAAGGTGATTCTTGGGCATGGCCTGAGCCATGAACATGAGGACTCAGGAAGCAGAGTTTGTCTGCTAAGAGAGAAGGGTTCCCTGTGAAAGTTGGCTTGGGTTTAGTAGGACTCCCCCGTAGGGCACAAGGACCTGATGCAGAGAGCAGGCCACTGAGGACAAGAGCCTGCCTGCTGGCTTGATGCCAGTAGGAAGCTGATCTCCTTTGTCCTTGGGGAATCTGCACTGCTCCAGCCTTTCCTGTTTTCTTGGATGTCTTGAGTGTTCTAATACTTGTGTGTCATTGTGTTCCCAATTAGACTTAAATTCCAGAGAGCAAGAGACCTGCCAGCCAGTGCATGTGATTAATGTGGACATTCAGGACAACCACGAAGAAGCCACCCTAGGAGCCTTTCTCATTTGTGAGCTCTGTCAGTGTGTAAGTGTCCTTGGAGCCTTGATTTCTGGGACCTGCATTTCCCAAAGTCCTCTTCCCATACCCATTTTCCAGGTGGTTGGTTCATCTTGGGCGGGCCTGTATTGAGGACCCCACTGGGTGCAGAATGGCTTTAGCATGTGACCTCAAGCAGGACAAGACACACGTGGCAAATGCTTGTCGCCTGACAGATTAGAGGACATTTTATACTTTTTAATAAAACAGTTTCATGTCCATATTTATTTTAGAGGCTCATCGGTACAGTGCCCAGTTCTTGTAATGAACAAACCATAAGAGTATTAGAAATAAAATCCACACCTGCACATGAATGCTTCACACATGTAGTCTCCGGGATCATACCTGGAGTAGAGGTGAGAGAGTTGTTCAGTCATTAGTAGGTCTTCGTGTTTTTTTTCTAGAAAACCAGGAAATGCGCCTCCCTGTACAAATGTTTGCCCAAGAAGGTGAAGAGACTAGATCAGTGTACGATGTACATAAATCATTACATCATGTAGTGCTCAGATTTAAGAATTTGCTTTTTGTGGTTGAGCTTTAATAATGAGCCAATACAATTCATGTGTTTTTACTTTTCATTTTTGTCCACACCTGTGATTTCACTGGCATAGGGAACTCCTAGGATGGAAAATTCCTTCACTAATTCAGATGGACGACTTGTTTGTTATAGTCTGGAGGAGTTGCTTTGGGGCCACTTGGGGTTAAGTGATTTGCCCAGGGTCACAGAGCTGTCTGAAGTGTTAGGGGCAGGACTGGAGAGCGGCTCATTTCTACATCCAAGGCCAGCTATTATGTCATGCTGTCACCCTTCCAGAGAACCTCTTTCCGTTTCTGACTTTGTTTAAGAAACCGGGTCTCAGAAGGCACTTGTCTCTCCACAAGGGTTTACCTGAACTAAAGCAGCTTCCCTGTCAATGCATGGAAGCTTTGTCTCTTTTTGCCACATTTATCTTCAGTTCTGTAAAGTCTTTGGGATTGTGAAGCAGTAGAAATGATGTTTTCTGCCTCTTGTAGCTATGTTTTTTCCCCTGAATAGTTGAAGATGCTGCTGTTTTAAAAGGGCACTTCTTTTTTCTTTTCTGCTGTGTTTCTAGGTCAGGTATTTCTCTCCCACACACTTGGGTTGAATGTTAAAGCAGTGTGGGCCTCCCTACTGCTGGTCATCTCCATGGAACCACATTCTTCAAGGGACATTGGAGGTTTCTGATAGGGTTCATACATTTGTCTTGAGAGGTTATCACAGAATTGTCCATTTTTCTAGAGTGCCATGAGCCAATTTGGGTCATGGCAGGTGTTCATCTTCACACTAAATACGGTACTTTGTTCCAAAGACTTAAAACCTCCAGTTGGATTCTGTTTGTTGTACAGAAGATCCTAGAAAGCAAAGCTGGAGTATTGAAAGCCTTGAAAGGGGACAGGATGAGGAAGGAGATAGTCATTTCCTTGGTCTTCTGCATATGTATTAAGCCCTGTCAGGTTGATGCTTTGCAGGAAATATTGCATCATCAGTTTTTGATAGATTGGTGGAGGAGTTGGCTTAGTGTCTTTCTGGACCTAGTTGCTTCTCGTGGCCTCCAGCTTGGACCTCTCTGCATGGCCCTTAGTGCTAGAGATGGCAAAGCCCTCATCCTCTCCATGTGTGGAGGGTCCTGAGGCTGCTGCCCTGCTGACTTGGGTCAGGAGATGACATCCATTTAATACTTGGAGACAGTAGATCACACCATTAAGCTGGTTGGTTTTGCTTCTGATGGAGGATTTTGTTGATTCCTGTCAGATAGAAGTGTAGCTTTCGAGGGCTTTCCCAGCTCCGAGAGGAGCTCTGCACCAGCACTGCAGGGTCTGTGGTCTGTTTCACACCTGTCTCCTTCCCCAGCAGAAGGGGAATCCTGAGGAGCTAGCTCCCTGCACTGTTGGAGTGCCTGGGACCTTCCCCCTAGGCATTTGGGAGAAGCGGGATCCAGGTGTGTCACAGAAAACTTGCCTGCCTCCAGCGGGGCGGCCTGGGGTGGTGTTTGACATGAGACTATGTTAGGTAGTCCAGGCCGGCCCAGGGCCCAGGGGAGGACGACCAGACTCCGCTCCCAGCCCCCACATCTCCACCTCTTGCTTCAAGGCTGTCTGCCTGCCCCCTGTCGCCAGCTTCTCTCTAAAGATGGCGTGTGTGCCTTTCTTTCTTTCTTTCCTTTAGATACAACACACAGAAGACATGGAGAATGAGATCGACGAGCTATTACAGGAATTTGAGGAGAAAAGCAGCAGGACTTTCCTCCACACGGTTTGCTTTTACTGACACCCGCCTTGGCTTTGCAGGCCTCGGAGCTGAACGAAGCATGGGGGTCAAGTTTTCTGACTGTTCCCTACTCTCCCTGAAGACCACCTTCGAATCTTCCTTTGTTAATACTTTTTTTCTTCACGGTGTTTGTTTTTACTTTCAGGTATTCTGCCAGAAGGAGGCAGTATTACCCAAATACATTGTACATATAACATGAGAAGAGAGAGACACATAAAGGCCATAGTAAAAAAAATCAAGTTTTTTTTTCTATCCCACTTTTCCTTATTATAAGTGGGATATTAATTATAATGAGGATATTTTTCTTTGAATGGAAAAAAAAGGTTTATGTTATATTTCCCCCCCTAGCTTATTCATTTCTTTAGTTGTACATTTTTCGTTACCGTAATTGGCTGAAGTATACAAAGACCTGAATGAAACAATGGAGTATATATTGCTAGGTATGAACTTGGCGCTGTCCTCTGCCTTCAGAATGGAAGGGTTAGTTGCTCCCTTTTTCTGAACCTGGATCCAGTCACATTGCACTAAAGGGAGGTTGTTGATGGAAAGCCGGGATTCAGGAGCAGTTCTGAAAATGGAAACTTGACAGTGAGTAGGGGCACAGCAGCAGAACCACCACGCTGACTGGCCCTGGGCCCACAGACGTCCCCGGGGACACCGGCCCTCCTCAGGATGCCTGCCTCTTCGCTCAGAAATGTTGCTGTTGGACAAATCTGGTCTTGGTTCACTAGAAGTTCAGCACAGACTCCGAGCAAACATTGTGGTTGGTTTGGTTTTGTTGTTAGGTTTAAAAAAAAAAGTAACAAGTTCCCAGAAGGGTTCCTTGTTTTCTGACTCTAAGAGAACCTTCCCAGCAGGAGGAGCCACCTTAGATTCAGGGGGGGCCTATTCCGCAAAAGCTGCCTCAGCACCTTGGAGAGCTCCAGTCGCCGGCTGGTTGGAGGGGCACAGATAGGCGGCTCTGTTCACTTCATTCTGGCTGCAGGTCTCTTCACCTTTTTTGTAGATAACCTATTTGCTGCTCGAAGCGACAAAGAAGCTCCCCTCATGCTGGGTGACGGAGTAGGATAACTTACTGAAACCACACAGGTCAGGAAGATGGCCTCGATTCAAAAGCCCTGGTGCTGTACCCAGTCGGGTCTGCCTCCCTAATTTTTCCGAAGCCTGCAGAAGAGAATGTGAGAATCAGTTTGCTGAAGAGCCCTGTAAGGAAGTGGATGGATGGCGGTCATGTCTTTGGCCTCCCCCTCCCAGAGGCTGAGGCTGCCGCCTCAGAAAGCCTTGTCTTCCTTAATAACCCTTGCTGGATCTGTCCAACACAAGTTTGCCTCTTTTCCTGTCTCTAGTGTCAGCTTGTTTACCTGTTGAGGTAATAAATTCCTGACTTAATAAATTAAATAAAGAATAAGCATGTCACTCCTTTATTTAAGTGCTCTCCAGCCAGAGGGAGTACTTTTACCTTGTCTTGCATTTCTAGCATTAGGATTTGGGATAAGAAGAGAATTTTCATTCTTGGTTGGCGTCCAAAGTGAGATGCCAGTGCAGACCCCTTTGATGGTGGGCAGCTGATGCTAACCTTGCCTGCTGGGGGTGGCTTCTCTAGTCTGCTGCCCTGGTTATTCCCCTGGAAGGTGGTCTTCACAACCAGACCTCAGCCTTGGCTGCAACACACAACCCAGGTCCCCAAAATGCCTTTGTCCCAGCTCCAGGATCGGCCCTGGAAGGACAGGGCGGGTGGGCTCCACAAAACATTCTGATGGCATTTCCCTTTCCTTCCCTCTGCCTGTCCAGCATTTCTAAGCTCTTCTACCAGTTGGTGGCATTACCATTTACTGCCCCTGCACCCTCTCTACCTGCTGGCTTCAGTTTGAATACCACCACTGTGATCCGTTCCTTTCTTACTGATTGTGAGTTTCCTCGTCTATAAAATGGGGTGAATCCTACTTGCAGCACTTAGCTTGCCAGGCTGGTAGGGGGAAGAGTGCTTTGTAAACCCTAATGCAGCATGTCAATATGGTATATATATACACCCTTAATTGGTTCCCTGCCTTACAGCTTGGCTGCTCATTTCTTCCATCACCTTTCCAGGGATTCCTCTTCACCCCCAAGCATTTTTTTTACCTCATTGTTTTGAACACAGTCCAGCTCTTCACCTAGCACCTCTGAAGACTGGAATCTCTTGCTGTCAAAACTAGGAAAGGCTGGGGTATGTTTGGGATGCATCAGATGAGAAAGTGGTGGTCTCTCAGCCCCATTGCTGTTGGCCCCGACTGAAGGTGGGAAGAAATAATGGCTTTGGTGGGCCCCCGAGGTTTGAAGTTCTGAGACGTTCCAAAGTAGAAGGCAGGTTGGACTTGGAGTCAGATTTACAATTGGAGGCTCTGTCACTGTATTGGGACATCTGTAAAATGAGGTCCTGGTGACAGTTGAGCTCCCTTCTAACCCAGAATCTTGCTATTCCCCGAGAGCAGTAACACCAAAGAACAACGCTGGTGAACCCTGGATCTGGAAGGAGAGGGGGAAGTGATCGATTCCTGTTGGAAATAACATCCTTTCCCCTCCTGCCCCTTGAAAAGAGCTCCCTTCCCACCAGCACCAAGTCTTACGACGACTACTTTTCAGAGCTCCAGCCATATGGCGGGGTGGGGGGTGGGGGTGCGCAGCAGGGAGGGGTTTGCCGGGTCCCTTTATGAGCGTTTTCAAAGTCCTGGATGGCCCAGTTAAATTATCTGGATTGTGGGGCAGGGGCCTGTAGGTATAGGGAAGGTCATAGCCCAGGCAAGGTGCTGGGGGCGTAACACCGCCCTTCTGTCCCGAGATGCTACTTGGGATCGAGAAACCAGGTCACTGTGCCCCTCCTTGGCAAAAGACAGACAGCAGGTGTTCCCCTCCTGCTCCCTAAGAAACCTGCCCTTTCTCCAGGGGCTGGAAGTTAACCTGGTTCAGTGCTGTGACCCTCTCGATGGGCGGTTAGCTTCTGATCTACCGAGGCGTCATCGCCGGGCAGGAGGGAACACCAAGGGTCGGACTGCAGGACTCAGCTTCACCCCACCTCCCACCTCCCACATTCCTGCGGCAGCAACCAAACCTGGGAGGGGGGAGCCGGGTAGCAGTGGGAAGTGTCGGACCAGAGAAATGGTAGCGGGGACTGTGAGCTCGCCGCACCGGGGCCGTCCCGGGAGGTGCGGGAGCAGAGAGGGGGTCCTGCGGCCTGCCGGCCCGACGCCTCACCTCTGGCTTCCCTTCGCGTGTCTCCTCTCCTCTCTGGGCTGACTCGTAGTAGGGCTCCAGGGGATTCCCCCCTACTCTTCAATAGCTTCCCGCTGGGGCCGAGAGCCCAACCCCAGGCTGCTCCGGGACTTTAGTCCTCCTCCCCCGCTCCCGGCCCTCCCCAGGTCCCCGGGGACGTTGCGCGGGCGCGGGCGCGGACGCCTCACTTGGCGCACTGTGCTCCCTTGACCGGCCAGAGTCGGGATTTGGGGGAGAGGGAACAGATAGGAGGGAGGGGGCGGGGCGCAGCGGGGCTGCGGGCCGGGGCCCGGGCTGGGGGGAGAGGCCCCGAACAGCTCGCGGGCCGGCAGGCGGGCGCCCCCTCCCCGCAGCCCGGCCCCCCCTCCCCCCGGCTCCCCCCTCGCCCCCGGGCGGCGGGATTGCGGCGCGGGCCGGGCTGGAGAGGGAGACACACACACGCACACGGGCACACATATACACACACACAGACACACACACACACACACACACTCGCGCGCGCACACACACAGAAGCGCACACACACAGAGGCACACGCTCACCCTGTCACACTCACTCACATTGCCGGCGCCACGGCCGCGGAGACGCAGAGGCACCGCGAGGGCGTCCGCGGCGGCGGCTGCGACTCTGACCTCTGCGGGGCTCCCCCCGCCGCGGCGTGGGGGCGGGGGAGGGGGTGGGCGCGGGGGCTCCGGCCCGGGCCGGCCCTGCGGGCTGCCCATGAGCGCAAACACGATGATCTTCATGATTCTGGGGGCGTCGGTAGTGATGGTGAGCGCGCAAGGCGGGGGGGGGGCGTGGGTGGTGCGGGGCGCGGGGAGGAGGTGGGTGGGGGGCCCGGGAATGGCTGCCCCCGCAGGCGGCCGGGAGCCCCTGTCCTCTGTCCCTGCGTGTCCCCTGCTGGCTGCCTGGCTGCCTGTCTCTGCGCCTGCGAGCGCCCGGGCCCTGTGGCCGGCCCGCCGTGCCTGGCGCGCTCCCCGCTCTCCCTGCGTGTCTCTTCTCTGCCTTCCTGCCTGCCTGCCTGCCTGCCTGCCTGCCTCGGGGTGTGAGTGTGTGTGTGTGTGTGTGTGTGTGTGTGTGTGTGTGTGTGTGCGCGCGCGCGCGTGTGCTTGTGTGTGTATGCCCGTGTGTGTGCCTGTGCTTGTGTGTGTGTGTGCCCTGTGCCGTGTGTGCGCGCGCGCCGGGCCCTGGCCCTGGCTGTCTCTCCAGGTGTCTCTCTCTCTCTCTCTCTCTCTCTCTCTCTCTCTCTCTCTCTCTCTCTCTCTCTCTCTCTCTCTCTCTCTCTCTTCCTGTGTCTCTGAGTGCCTCCGGCTCTGCGCAGTGCCCGTGGCCGTGGCCGCCCCTTGGCGGGTCTGGGGGCCGGGCCTGGCACCCGGCTCTGGGAACCGCGGTCCCTCGTCCCCGGGAGGAAGGGAGAGAGGGAGAGAGGCCGGGAGGCTGAGGCCGAGGGCGCCGGGGGCGCTGACGGGCCGGGCCGGCGGGGGGCGGGGGGCTCGGGGCTCTTTCAGGCCATCGCCTGCTTGATGGACATGAACGCGCTGCTGGACAGATTCCACAATTACATCCTCCCGCACCTGCGGGGCGAGGACCGCGTCTGTCATTGCAACTGTGGGAGGTAAGTCCCCGCGAAGGCTGCTCGGGCGTCCCTCCCTGCCTTCTGCCCCCTGTCCCTGACAGCTAGCCTCCTGCTCTCTGCCCCGACAGGAGAGAAGAATTAAAGGTCCAAGTCTCGGACCCAGGCAAGGGCTTCGGGGCAGTCCAGACACACAACACACGCAGGGCCCCAGGGCCACCCAGACACATGAACACTCCATCACATGCACAATACACAGACACATGGACAGGCACAAGCATACAGACATACACTGACAGTCACTGACACACTACACGCCCAGAAACACACCTCACCAAAAGACCTGTTATCAGAAACACACAGTGGTACAGACCCTTAAGCAAAGCACTGGTGGGCAGAGATGCCAGGGCCAGGTGATCTGGGCTCCCCAGCTTCTGGTGTCGGCAGGCAGGCTGAGACTGGTTCTGTGGGTGAGTGTGAGAGCCGACAAAGGAAGGAGGCTTCCTTCGGTCTATATCACTTTTCGGGGTCAAGGTGGGGTAAGAAACTAGGGGCAAAACTGCTTGTCCAGGGTTGAAGAGTATGGCCTGAGTACTTAAGGGGAAGGGGGAGGAAGATGAGCCTGTAGGAGGAAATGTAACCAGGACCCTGGGAGAATCCCCAGAGAATTTACCTAGTTGGAAGAGGGTATACACTCCCCCCAACAGTTCTTTAAAACTAAAATATAGTTGGCCCTATAAAGAGTTAGGAAGTAACCCTTTTGTTCCTGGTCCCTTACTGCCCACCGCTGTATCAGAGGATCGTTCTACCCAAGGCAGGAAAGCTGTTTCCTGGCTTTCATTGGGCTATTAAGACTCAGTACCTTCTTTTGAAGTTTGCCTGAGGGTTGCCCTGGGTGGCCAGAGCACTTGCTCTGATGTGTATTCAAGGAGCACCTTGGAGACCCTTGGGCTGAAGCAAGGGCCAGGCCGGACTGGCATAGAGGACCCCTGGGGCAGAGAGGCTTCAAATGCCAGGGCAGAAGGATCCAGGACACAGACAAGGCTATTAGGTGTTAGTTATTGATGGTTATTAATATTGGTTCTTGACAAATAGTCACAATAAATCGCTTCTTGCTTATTAGCTATGAATTATGTTTCATGGAGTCACTGATCAGTTACAATTTACTTTGGTTGACAGTTATTCATTGTTATTGACCTGGTAATCAGTGTTCTCATGGGGTTACTGAGTCACTGGAAAACGACTCTGCCCTGTGCCCCTGGCAGCACCAACTTAGGTCTGCTGGTCTTGGAAGGTTGGGTTAGGGGTGAACAGGTGGACAGGCTAGCAAGGTACTGATGGTGCTCAGACCCTTAAGCACCGTGCCCTTTTTGGGCCTCTTGGGCCTGAATGACTACTGAGGCCCCAGCTGTACACTGGTGATCCTATGATGCTATGGTCACCAAGTGATGATTATGTCAGTGCCTTATGGGGAGACAGAGAGGCTAGTGATTCAGCTCCTGCCCTCAGGGAGCTTACAATCTGGATTTGGACACAAAAAGGTGATTTGTGCCCTTACCACTTCCACTTGTTCCTGAGACATCAGGGGAGCTTCATGGAAGAGGGAGAACTTTGATTGGCCTTTGAAGGAGGCACAAGATTGGCCATTCCATGGGCAATGGGTTGAGTGAGGGTGGAGGATGTTTTGAGGGCCCTTAGGGATCTTAGTCCACTAGATGGCTGGCAGCCAGGGGAGATGAGGCTGGAAGGGGTGTGCCAGGTGGTACTAGATTTTGGAAGGTCTTCCTTGAATGGCAGCTTGCGAGGTTTGTCATCTCTCCTATTTTTTGATCAGTGACCTGGATATTAAGAGAACTGGATATTAAGAAGCCAACTGATGGCTCGTTAAGGATGGAGTAGAGAAGAGAGCACTAGAAGGAGGGAGTCTAATTAACAGGCTGGACTAGAGGTGCTGAGGGCCTGGTCCAAGGTGGGGACTTTTGGGAGGGAGGCAAAGAAAGATGGCTAGGAATTATGGCTCGGTTTGCTACAAGTGCCAAGTCTGTCATGGCCTATAGATTTCAAGCCTGAAGCACCAGGAGAGTTGAGGGCCTCTTGCCACTTCATCTCGACTCAGATGTGTCGGTGGGAGACAGCGGTCCAGGCGGGGCTCCTCACTCCCTTGGGCGAAAGGCCCTGTGGCAAACTCCCTCCTGAGCACATGTGTTTTTCGTGCTCTGGAGCAAAAGGCAGAATCGACGTTCGTGGGAGGATAGCCCACCCTCCCTTCTTCCATTTGGTTGTCTGCTTTCTTTCAGTGGGGATCAGACTAAGCATGCTGTGTGGGCTTGATCAAACAAACTTGTGCATCCCTATGCATTGGATGCATCCTAGCCTCCGGCATCTGTAACTTCGGCCCCTGGCCTGATAGGCAATTGTTATGAGCTCCTGTGGCAGAAAACAACGGGATATGCCGCTTACCTCCCCAGAGGCAGACAGGCAACGTCAGGCCTCCCTGTATGGAATGGGGGAAGGGCTGGGCTGGGTGCTAGGAATGACCTCCAGGGTAGAGGGTATGAGCCATCTGCTTCTCCACTCTCATCTCTCCTGGCTCAGCCCCAACCCTATCCTTCCTTTTTCCTTTTTGGTATGAAAAACAAAAACAAAAACAAAAAACAACCCACCTTTATATTTCCTAGTAAGACCCAATTCTTCACTTTCTCCCTCTCATAGTCATGCCTAGGTGGCACATTGGTATTTTCTGTTAGGTTTCATCAAAAGTTCCTCTCATTTTCTTACTCATTGGACAAAAGTTAATTCACATCCATTGGAGATTCAGCTGTATCAACTGATCCCCATTCAGCAACTTTGAACAAGTCATATGACCTCAAAAGGAGACTCAGTTTCTTCATCTGTGAAATGAGCACATTTTGGACTAGATCACCTCTAAGGTGATTTCTTCCATCTTGAGATCTCAGGTGCTGAGTCCAAAAATTCTCGACAGGTTGAGATGGAGAAAGGGTTGGATTCTAAGAAGATAAAATTCCCTAGGGATAAATGTGAAGTCATACACTCAGGATTAAAAAAATCAACTTCACATGTATAAGCTGAGGGAAGGTGGAGTCCAGCAATAGTCCATGTAGAGGAGAAAGATTTGGGGGGTTTTTAGTTGACTGCAAACCAAGCTGAGTATCCCAAAGCAGGCAAACACCCCCCCCCCCACACACACGCTGAGTTGATCTCAATCTGCATTGACTCCCCCATACCGTCAGTGCCTGATGAGTCATTAGGAATCAACAGTTGACAAGATGGCTAGTAAGAAAAGCATGAGCCACAGGAATGAGGAGGCCGTGGCGCTGTTAGCCTCAGCCTGGGTCAGAGCTCATCTAGCGCTCTGGGGCCACACGGGAGAAAGGCTGGTGAGAAGCTGGGATCATGACACATGTGGATATGTGGAAGGCATTGGGGATGGTCAGACTTGGAGGGAGGGGCCATATGATGAATGTTCTCAAGAATTTGCAAGGCTATCTCATGGAGGAAGGGTTAGCTTCATTCTGCTTGGCCTACAGGACAGGCCGCAATGGGTGAAAGTTTTTTTTTTAAGGCAATGAGGTTAAGTGACTTGCCCAGGGTCACACAGCTAGGAAGTGTCTAAGGCTGGATTTGAACTCAGGTCCTCCTGACTCCAGGAGCACTTCATGCTCCATCCACTGTGCCACCTAGCTACCCCAGCAATAGGTGAAAGTTGTTGAGACACAAGTGGAAGGGGCTGCCTCAGGGTGGACTGCATTATTCCTCACTGGGAGTATTCAGGAAGAGGCTTGGAAGATCCCCTCCCCCCACCATACTTGAGATGAGATTCCTGGATAGGGCTAGAGGTTAGACTGGAAACCTCTAAGGTCTCTCCTGTCCCCGAGATTCTGATGATTTAAAAAATAATTAAGGTCTTGACTGTGTGGGCCTTCCCCTGAGGGCTGTAGAAGGGTCAGTTCTTACTGGAGTCATCAGGGCTTTGTAGAGAAGGCTGGACCTTAGAGGGCAGGAAGTGTGGAAACATGTGCCAGGTGCTTTAGAAATATTATCTCATTTGATCCTTGTGCTGTCTAGACACTATTATCCTCCTTATTTTACTGATGAGGAAATTGAGGCAAACACGGTTAAGTGACTTGCCCAGGGTCACACAGCTAGGAAGTATCTGAGACTGGATTTGAATTCAGGTCTTCCTGACTCCAGGCCCAGCACTCTGTCCACTGCCCCACAAGCTGCCTCTGGTAGTTATGGAAATATGGAGAGGGGGGAGAGAGAATTACAGTCTAAGGAAAGTTCAAGAAATCACTACACATATTTGGCAGGATCAGGAAAGGTCTTGCGTGAAGAAGGACAGATAAGGTAGGCTTTAGAAAGGGACTTCAGAGGGGGCAGCTAGGTGGTGCAGTGGATAGAGCCCCGGCCCTGAAGTCAGGAGGACCTGAGTTCAAATCCAGCCTCAGACCAAACACTTGACACTAGCTGTGTGACCCTGGGCAAGTCACTTAACCCTACTGCCTAACCCCCCCAAAAAAAGGGACCTCAGAGGCCATCTCTCTCATTGTACACATGAGGAAACTGAGGCCCGGAGAGGTCGAGTGAGGACCTGAGGTCACACAGGCAGTAAGCATCGGAGATAGGATTTGAACCCGGGTCTTTTGACTGGTCAAAGTCAGAGCTCTTTTCTCTGCTCCATGAAGGAGTATAGTAAGTCCCTCCATCAGTGGTGAAGAAGGCATTGATTCCAGGCATGGGGAAGTGCCAGTGCAAAGAAGGCAATGGAATTCCCCGTGTCTGGGGAACATCTATCCTGGTCTGGCCAGGATAGAAAGCTGGTATGGGGTGGTCAGTGGGTGGACCCAGACTTTGGAGGGCTCAGTGCCAGGCTAAGGACCTTTTCATTTTATGGCAGGGGTAAGGGGGAGCTGGTTGAGGTCCTTTTGCAAAGGCCTCCATGACCCTCCCTGGGCCTGAGGACTGTGGGAAGGCTGGATCATAGAGGAGAGAGCCTGCAGGCCCAGAGACCAGATCAGAGGCTAGAGGTCAGAGATGACGGAGGAAGGGCTGACTTGGACTGGGGGCTGCAGGAGAGGAGACGACAGGACAGATGCCCACAGGCCCAGGGAGCTTGGCATTGATGTCTGCCTGGAAGCCGTGGCTTGGGAAGAGCTAAGGATGTGGCTGTCCCTGGTACTGGGGGAGTGGGGAGGGACCATGGCTTCCAAGAGTGTCTGGGTGGCTCACTTGGAGAGCTACCTTTGGGTTTCTGGCCTGGTGCCTTTCTTTGCTCTTCTGTCTCATTGGCCCTCTGTGTCGCCGTCATAGGTCTTGTCTCTTCTGACTCCACTCCTTAGTGGCTGCAGAGCAAAGGCTCAGCTGGGAGATGACTCAGAGCTGGCGTGCGGCTCTGAGAATTCCCCCAAAGCCTGATGGCTCCTTTCTGGCTCCCCAGCCCCCTCCCAAAGCCTGCAGTAACTCCATGGGGCTGGGCCTGGAGCCTGGGTGACTTGGCCTATGTGTGCTGTAATGGTATGTGTGTATGTGTTACTCTGTGGCTCAACCTACCCTCCAGAGCCTCCCTGCAGGGCCACACATGACTGTGCTAGCTATATCTGGGTGTATCTATTGTCTTTCTGTGCTCTGGGGCAATTTTGCATTTGGAACCACATATGTCTGTGTGTCTGTGTATTGTGTAATTGTGTATATCTCTGTGTGGGTCTGTGTAACTGTGGGTGTGTACATGTGTGTCTGCACCACAGGCCCAGCTTCTCTCTTTCCCCTCCCATGGCATCTGTTTCCCCATTCCTTCCTTCAGCATCATTTGTTGGTATCAATATTTGGACATTTCTTGGGCTTGATTATTCAAAGGCCTGAGAATCCTGAGTACTCAATGATGGGCTCAAGAGGAGAGGGACTGGGGTGTGAATGAGGACAATGGTGGTGGAGGCTGTTTCCTCCCTGCCTCCCAATGCAGTCCTTGTCTCTGAAGACAGTGGCGGTGAAGTCCCAGTGGCAGCCCTAAGGGTTCCTCTTGTGGGGAACAGTGGGGTGCTCTTGCAACAGCAAGGCAGCAAGGAGGTTGGTTGGTTGGTTTGTTTTTTTAGGCAGTTGGGGTTGTGACTTGCCCAGGGTCACACAGCTAGCAAGTTTTCCAAGATGATGGGAGGAGTCTTGCTAAGGACTTTGTACCAAGAAGGGCTAAGGGGGTCTTAGGGCTGAGTGGTGTCTCTGCTGGGAATGTCTCTGTTGGAAGCAAGCTATGTTTGAAGAGGACTTTTCTGTTGGATAGTAAGTCAACGAGTATTTACTGATCGCTTACTTTGTGTCAGGCACCATGCTAAGTGGTGAGGATACAAAGAAAGGCAAAAACAGGGTACTTGCTTCCTAGAAGGTACCTGTCTAAAGGGGGAAGACTGCACATAGATCTATCAAGTGGATAGAAGGTCATCTGAAGGGTCAAGGCACTAGGGTTACTAGAAATGGGGCCTCCTCAGCTCTGGTCTAGAGGGTCTCTGTGATGAGGAGTCTCTGGTGTGAGGAGGTCTCGAGGAGGTCTCCCGTGGGAGGTCTCTGTGTTTAGGGGTCTTTGTAGTGAAAGGAGTGTCTGTTCACTATGGAAGTCTCTGTGCTGGGGAAGGTGTCTGCCTGGGCAGGGGTACCTCTGTACTGAGGGGTAGGGTCTCAGTTGTTTGGGGAGACAAGAAGGGATTCCTGGTGTCTGAAAGACTGTCCTGCCTTCTGTGCTGCTGTGTCAGGGGAGAAGGGAGCTGAGGAGTTCTGGAGTGACGCAGCCTCTTCCCTGATGAGACCCTTGTTCCCAGACCCCATATTGGATTGTGGGGAGCCCCTTCCAGGCCATCTTTGGGGGTGGGCCACCCCTGTCTTCCCACTATCCCTTTGTCACCAGGCCCCATACTGGATTGTGGGGAGCCCCTCCCTTTCCAGCATCCCTTACTGTGGTCTTTGTCACCAGGCCCTATATTAGGTACCACTGTTCCTCATTGTGGCTCTTGTCTCCACCACCGTCCTCAGGCACCACATTCACTACGTGATCCCCTACGACGGGGACCAGTCTGTGGTTGACTCCTCAGAGAACTACTTTGTGACAGACAACGTGACCAAGCAGGAGATTGACCTGATGCTGGGGCTGCTGCTGGGCTTCTGTATCAGCTGGTTCCTGGTGTGGATGGATGGGGTCCTGCACTGCGCTGTGCGGGCCTGGAGGGCCAGTCGCCGCTTCGGTGAGCACTGGACTGGACTGGGGGGCAGGAGCTCTCTGGGGAGGAGCTGCCAAGGCAGGTGGAAGGGACCGGGGGCCAGGGCCTCGAGGGACTTATTTGGGTCAATGCAACTAGCCCTTATTTAAACAGCTCCTGTGTTTGAGGCACTGTGCTAGGCACTGGGGAGGCAATGAAAATAAAATACAGAATAGAAGCAACCTGGCACAGAAAGAAGGATGTTAGAACCCAGAGAAGGACCTGGATTCAAATCTCAGCCCTGTCATTTGCTACCTGTTTGACCACCCTCGGCCCCAGTTTATTTATCTGCAAAACGAGGAGGCTGGGCCAGATGCCCAGCCTTAGATCTGTTATACTCAAGAAACTTAGCTTCTGCTGGAGGACACAGAATTCAGAAAGAGAAGTACAAGATAATCTGAGGAGGGAGAGACCATTTACACCTGGGTGGGTGGGTGGGTGAATAAAAAAAGACTGCCAGGAGGAGGAGGTGGCTTGAACTGAAGCTCGAAGGAAATGAAAGATTGTAAGAGGTGGAGGTGAGGGAGGGAATGCATTCCAGGTATTGGATAGGGGTGAGAGTGGGTGGGCACAGCCGGTGCAATGATGTGGAGGTAGGAAATGGCCAGCAGGCCAGTCTGGCTAGAATAGAAAACTTAACAGGGATCAATATGAAATGTTTGGAAAGTTAGGTTTCAACCATCCCAGGAGACAGAGACTGAAGGGCTAGAAATACGAGGTGGCAGACTCAGGAGACTTGAGGATTGAAGAGCTGAGATATAGCAGACAAGGAGGCTCAGGCATTTGTGTGGACAGAGATGCCCTTCATCTTGGATTCAAGGAATCCAAGGATTCCCAGAGCTGTCTCTGGCTCTAAGATGGTTGCTCCTCCCACGTGCCCTCAGTCTCCTTTTTAACCTTCAGTGGGAGAGACTATTCCCAGGATTGACTTCAGCATGTGACCTAGCCATTTGCATCCAATAGCACTCCCAGGGGGATTGGATAGTCAGTCAACTAGCATTTGTGAAACACCTACTATGTGCTAGGCATTGTGCTAAGTGCTGGGGATATGAAGAGGTGGGGGGAGGGGATCCATAACACCCGTCCCTGCTCTCAAAAAGCTCATTGTCTAGTGGTGTATCCTGTGGCCTGGTCAACTACCTGGTGGATTCTTCACTAGAAATATGGACAGAGTGGCACACACATGGTAGAATCTGGACCTTGGCCCCAGGGCCTGAGGCGAAAGGGGCCATCTTATTTCGTTGGAACTGCTAGTTCTGAATCCAATCTGTTGTCAATCTGTTCACTAAGTACTTACTAAGCCATACAAAAACAAACATGAAACTACCCCTCCCTCCCCTCAAGGAGCTTAGGTTCTATTCATAATTACATTACATTCTATGGCTTGTTACATTGCATTCTATGGATTGTTACATTACAGTCTATGGCTTGTTACATTGCATTCTATGGCTTGTTACTTTGCATTCTGTGGATTGTTACATTCTTTTGACTCTCTTCTTCCCTTTCTCCCTCCCTCTCCTTGCCCTCCTGCAGACAACTCATGGTCCTGGCTCCCCAAATTCTGCAGTCTGAAGGACTTCCGGAAACGACCCCACCGGCCATATGAGGAGCCCACAGGAAACATGGTGCACATCAAGCAGAAGCTTTACCACAATGGCCACCCTAGCCCCCGGCACCTCTGAGCCCCTGCCTTGGCTTGGCTAAGCCCATGGAGGGACTTGGGACACATGGACAAACCATTGGACCACAGGGTGGACACTGCCCAGTGTCTATGGCTATATTCCCTGGGGGCCTGGGGCCAAGCCCTATGGACCTACAGCTGGAAGGGCTCACTCTATGTGGACCAGGAGCCAGCCTGGCCCTGGCCTGCTTGGGCCCTAGCACTGGACCTCTGTACATATGTAAGAAGGATCTTTACTTATAAACCCTTCCCCCACCCCCAGGGGCCTATACAGCCCAACCCCTCAGACCCTGGACAGCGCCTCTCTAGGGCCCCAGCCCTCTGCTGGCCCCTGGGCCCATGGTGTCTGCTGCCTGGGCAGCCTGGGTGGTCATCCTGCACTTGGGTGGGGCTCCCAGAAGAAGGTGCTGTGTCTTTTTTTTTTAGGGGCATAGGGTTTGGGGTGGGAGGGGATGGGATGGAGTCCCCCTAGGGCCTGTCTTGAGCTGGGTCATCTGACTGTAGGTCAAGGAAAGGCCAGGGAAGAAAATTTGGGAGGGGGTATGGCTCATCTGAGAGATAGGGTAGGACATAGGGTGTGGGGGGGTCCCTCCCTTGTATCTGGGACTCCCAGGCTGTTTTGCTATGTTGTGCCTCAGTTTCCCAAGCTATAAGTAGGACAGGAGTGCCACACTTGAAAATCCCTGAAGAAACGCTAGAAGGATGGAGAGGGGAGGGGTGACAAAATTACAACATCAAGCAGGGTGACCCCCCTTTTAAGTGCTTAGAGCTCTTGGCAGGAAGGTGCTACAGCCAGACAGGGTGGGGTGACAGTTGGGTGACTTCAGATCCCTGGCAGGGGAGGGGTGTGTGTGTGTGTGTGTGTGTGTGTGTGTGTGTGTGTGTGTGTCTAGAATGAGTGGGGGTGATCCATGGTGTTTAGGTTTTAAAAAATTGACTCTAGGGTGCTGGGTAGGTGGAGAGGGGAGGGAAGAGGGGCTGAGACAGCTCAGTCCCAGCTGTGGTTTTAGGAGTGAGTACCTGCTTGTTCGTTTCTGGTCCACCCCCATCCTCATCCCGACCCTACGTCCTGACTCTGGGCTCTGTCCAGCACTTCTTAGCCCCTTGGGGCCCTGAGGGTTGCCCACTAAGTGGGGCCAGCCCCTGGCCCATTCCATCCCCTGGTTTAATTCTGTTTCTGATTAGCTCCTCTGTGTGGGATCACATCTGTTATTATTATTTTTTTTAAATGGCTGGTGTCTGCGTGTTTCCTGTCCACATTTGTGTTCGTTTGTCAGGCTGTCTGGGGAGCTGACTCCCGGGGAAGGTGTCAGGGGCCTCAGAGAGGAAGAGGACCCTGGTCTGTAGGAAGTCAGGCAGGAGGAGGGTGGCAATGGACTCAAAGGAGACAGAGGTGTGGGAGGTGGTGCCAAGGTGGCAGCTCCATTTCCCTGTCCTGCAAACTCCAGGGGTCATGCTTGGACAAGAGAGTCAGTCAGTACAATACCAAGGGCAGGTGCAAGGGTCATAGTCCTGAGGCAAAGGAGATAGTGACGGGGGCAGGGAGAGCAGGGCTCCCAGGGACCATTCTGGGAGGAAACCAGAGAGGGTGGGGTGAATGCCTGTTGCCAATCTGTGCATGTGTGAACACGTGTGATCACATGCATGAAGCACGTGCCCATGACTTCATGGGGTCTGCATGGAGTATGCACAGGCAAGGGAGAGGCTGGAGGCCTGGCCTTCTCCCCTTTGTCATCAACAAGATAGGGTTCTTCTGGGCGCCTGGACAGCTTGACCCTGGGCCCACGGAGCGGGGAGAGTCCCTGTCTACTCGCAGACAATCCCCTCATCTCCAGGCTTTTTAGTGTAGGCCCAGACCAGAGCTGCCTCAGGCCCCCGTGGCCTTTCACTGTGATCACCTCCACCAGCCTGCCCACCATGACTTCATCCCTCCCTCTCCCTGGGCCTGGTCGCCTCAGTCAGTAAAAAATGTTTGAGGCACGTCCTGAGTCTGCTTCTTCTTTTGCTTCCTGTAGACCCAGGACTGGGGTCGAGGGAACCATCTCTGCTCTGGTTGGCTCGCTCTTATCTGGCAGGATTCAGTGATTTTAGTGTTGTGGTGTTGGCCTGGCATGTTGGAAAAGGTCTTGTCCAGACAGACCACTGGGGCAGATCTGAGAAGATGATGAAATCAAATAGGGATAAATGTAAAGTCATCCTTGGGTTCAAAAAATCACTTCCCAAGGACAAGACAGGTAGGATGTGGAGGAGGAGACTGGGCTAGGCAGCAGTTTGACCGAAAGCAACTGGGGGTGGGGCGGGGGGATGGGTTCACTGGACCGTGAACTCAGTGTGTCCACAGGACAATGTGACAGCTCCCCAAACAATGCTAACAAGCAGCAGTGACGGAGGCAGTCTCCAGCACTAACCGCTAGGTTTGCGAAGTGCTTCATAAGATCAACTCTCGGAAGTAGGTGCTATTATCCCTACATTACAGATGGGGAAACCAAGGCAGACAGAAGCTAAGTGACTTGACCAGGGTCACCCAGTTAGCAAATGTCCAAGGCGGGATTTGAATTCAGGTCTTCTTGACTCCAAGGCCTGTACTGCTCAGCTGAAGGCGATAGTGCAGAACCTGCATTCTGTCCTGGTCAGGTCCCATCTAGAATAGTTTGTGTTTAGGTTCTGGATGCACCACATTTTAGGCAAGACTTGGTAAACTAGAGGGTATCCAGGCAAAGGTTGCCTGGCTAGGGAAGGACCTTGATGTCAGGTAAACGCGAACACCACATAGAAGAATTGGGGGTGTTTATTTCACTTGGAGAAGACTCAGAGGAAGTGAATTAGACCTGTTTTGCTTGGCCCCAGGGTGCAGAGCTAGGAGAATGGTTGGGAATTTGCAGAGGCAGCTCGAGTGGAAGGGTACCAGGGACAGCTGGCCCAGAGTGCAGTGGATTGCCTTGGGAGGTAGTGAGCCCCCCACAAGGCTGCATGCCCGTGTGAGAATGCTGGTAGGCTCCTTCTGAAGTACAGGCTGGACAAGCTGGGGGCCTCACTTGGAAGCCCCTTTGGGCCCTGGGATCCTGCTTTTTGACACACCCAGAGAACAAAGCAAAGTCCCCACGTGAACGCCTGGAGTCCTCCCAGAGGAATGCTTCTCAGGTTAGCCATGTTAGACTTCTGGATGACCAAGCCCTGTTTGTGATGCTTCCTTCCTCCACGGAGGAAGGTTGGGCTAACTCAACGTTGTCCCTAAAAAGTTCCCCTGTGGCAGCCTTATGATATGGGGGGAAAGGACACAAGACCTGAGCTCACTGTCATCGCTGGCCTTCAACCCCTTCTAGTCCAATGCACTGGGCCAGGAGGCCCAAGGGGATGGGGCAGCTCTGCGGCCTCTTGCTCCCCCGGCAAAACAAGGGGTCCTCTGGTCTTTGTTCAGTTTGGGCCCAGCAGTAGGTGGCTGACGGGTGGGCACTGCTATCTTTTCCCAGCTACTTGACTTGGTCTATTAAGCACACCGGGACACAAGGTACATTTCTAGGTATAAGGGTCAGGCTCACTTCACACCCATAGCCTTGGTCCCTCCTGCTCTGCCCTCTGATGGGCTGCTGCTCTAGCGGCATGTTGTCCCGCCCCCAGCTCAAGCTCCCCCTCCGACTCCGAGCTTTTCAGAGACCCAGACATCAACCCGGGGCCCACGTGTGCTTGATCACACACACTCAGAACTTACAAAATGAAGATCACGGCAATCATGAAAGCACCGTGAAGGTCATTTATCTAGTCCAGCTCTTCAGCCCAGGCCCACAGGGATTGTGAGGTCACACATTTACCTTCTGCTCATTTCCTTCTCAAGATAAGACCACGCTCAGAAGGCCTCCCCCGCCACCCCGGACAGAACAGGCAGGGTTCAGCTCAGCTCCTTGACTGGGTAGGAAGGACAGAGGGATTACAATCAGGAGTCCTTCCATCTTCAAGCCTTGGGGTCACTGTCTCGAGTTCTTTGAGAACCACTTTGGACACATCTGGCACATCTAGCTGGGAGGGGAGGGGTATTTAGCCTTAAGTCAGGCCTGTCCATATTAAGGGGAAATGAGCTGTCAGCCCCAGTGAAGAAGGAACCCACAGAAGATCCAGGGCTAGAGAGGTGGCCCAAGAGGTGAGGGCAGTGGGCGTGGAAAGGGAGCCAGGCCATGGGGGTGCCAGACTCTCAGTTCCAGTCAGGGACCCCAGGTTTCTACCTTTCTGAGGAGATAAGAGCTCTGGAGTAACAGAGCAGGAAGGGAAGGAAGCAGCCTAAGGGACTGTGGGGGGCATTTCTGGTCCCCCCCACCCCCTGGAGTGACTGGTTCCGCTAGAAGGGCCTCCTCTCTCTGAAGCAATCCTGAAGGCCCAAAGGGGCATTTATGGGACCAGGATTCCCCTGGGCACCTCAGGTCACTTCAACAGTTTAGGATAATGGAAAGAGAACCAGACTGGGAGGGAGGAGAGCTGGGCTCTATTTGCTGGGCTAGTGACTCCCCCACCAAAGGAGAGGGGGCTGAGCCATCTGCACAGTCCGGTCCTTCCTTCCTCCCCAGCTGGGCACATCTGTGACCGGGGCTCCAGCCTGCCCTGAGTCAGAGGGGCAGCCTGGACCACTGAGGACAACATGACCGTGAGATCTGGTGAAGGAAACAGCCCGAGTAGAGGGTCTCAGAATCGAGGTCTTTTCCTTGGCACTTGCTGGAGGCCGGTGGGCACGGCTGGCACATGGTGCCAGCTCCAGCACAGGGCTTTTGGGCTGGTAAGATGCAGCTTTGGCACTTGACAGAAAGACCCCAGCACACAAAGGAGCACAGGTCAGTACGTGGTAGATCCTTTAATGTGGCTCCTGCCATCACACGCCTTGACGGGTTCTCTGAGAATATTTTAAAAAAGCCTCGAAGGGAAGGGAGGACGATGACCGCAGGCCCTGGCCCGGGCTCCGACTCTGACATGATTCACTCTTCCCCATGTCCTGGGGGGGGGGGCTCCCGCCCTTACACCGGGCTCTCCTTGAAGACAGGGAGAGACTGGCTCTTGCTGCCCTCCATGCCCTCCGTTTTCAGCCACTCCATCTTCTGCTGGTGCTGCTGGATGGCATCTTTTACGCGGGCATCGATCATCGCCTCCGTGAGGACGCCATCTTCTGAGGCGTAGGCTAAGGCCTGGAGGAGAGAGGGGACGAGGGACAGGGGATGAGAAGTGGCCAGGCCACCATCTCTGCCGCGCTCCTGGCCGTCACCAGACGGTGCAGAGGCCCGAGCAGGTCTCGCTCTGGGGCCACCCCACCCACCCACTCAAACCCCTTCAGGCTTTCACAGACCACAAGGGGCCCCCAGCCCAAAGCCCCTGCTTGCTCAGGCTGGAGCTGGGAAGTGAGACCCTCCATGACATTGTAAAGGCCCTGGCAGGGGTTGGGTGTCCACTGGAGATCGGGCAGCTGCCCTATGCCCTAACTAGGAGGAAGGTGGGCTGGCCACGGCTAGACTCCAGCTTCTCTGGTTCACCTGAAGAGGCGTTCCATTATTCAAAGCTTCTGCTCTCCCCAATGTCTTTATGCTCATGAAAATCTGAAGTGCGTTTCTGCACGAGGAAGACAGAGAACCTGATCACTAGCAGTGGTTTCAGAACCCGCCAAGAGTAGAGCAACATATCTGTGGAGACTCTGCACAAAGCATACACTGAGTGAGCAGGTCAGAACCTGGAGGTGGCCCACCAGGCTCTGGGCTTTCACGGGACCTACGGAGGGTCCCCCAGGCAGGCAGAGAGGAGTCAGAGCCTACTTGGACATGAAGGCGCCTGTTGAGCTTCGGGAAACAAGAGGACTTTTGGTTCCTTTTGGGTGAGTGAGGGGAGGTGATCTGGGGTGACAGCAGCTGGCAGCTCTTAGGGCCTGGGTGTGCACTGACCTCCAGCACTGACCAGTGCTTTACTGGACCCAAGGCTGGCCCAGATGCCAAGCGGACATCCCAGCCGCACACTGGGGTGAACATCTGCTCTCTCAATTGACACCCAGCTTGTCCTCTACATGCAGAGGAATGAGGAGGGGCCCTGCACACTGGCATCCTTGAGCCTGTGCTGGCTAATGCCTCTATCAGGCCCATCTCATGAATATGCCCCAGACCCCTCAGCTGGCAGGGAAGAGGCTCCCTATCTGGGCTCCAATTCCACCAGCCAATGAAGTTCAAAGCAGGTGGTCTCCCCTTGGGGCCAGCGGGCAGCCTCCTTCCAAAGGTAGGCTAGGCAAGCAGCTTCCCTAGGGCTTGGCCCCACCTGCCTTAAGTACACGTGTAGATTCAGAGAGACAGCCAGGCTTGTCTCCTGCCTGGGCCCGCAATGTCCATAAATTCAATTGTGGAAGTCCCAGCAATTCTGTGCAGTTCATGCGCTGCCGATTTTCTCAATGACCTTCTAAAAATAGAAAGCTCAGGGCCTGAGCTGTCAAGAAAGCAAATGGGGAACGCGCCCGGGCTCCGCTGGGAGCAGCTCGCGCCATTCGGGAGGCAGAAATTCTGTCCTTCCATGCAGGTATTTCTAACCAGTCTCTCTCACCTGCCTTGTAACGGAAGGCACTGTCAAACATAGGAATTCACAATTGGCCTTCGGGCAATTCTGAAGCAAATTAATTTTTTTACTTCCAGGAGGGCAGGCCAGCAGCTAGTGGGGGTGGGGTGGAGGGAGGGAAGAGGTAGAAGGAACCCATCCCTCCAAAGAATCCTCCCAGATACTCCCCAACTGTGAAAAGAGGGGCTGGCTGGGCCCAAATGGCAGAGACACACAAGCAGTGAGAGGGCTGGAGGAAGCGGCCTCCAAGGAATGACCGACCACAGGGCTCTTATAGAGCTGGCCCCTCCATTCCCATCCACATCACTTTCTAAATAAGGAGTCTTTTCTTTTAAAATTAGTTTAAGAAAACCAATTTTGTGACCCTAACTTTGTCCTAGGTGTCAGGAGGCAAATGGAAAGTGAGAATCCTCAACATGGCCTGGATTCTGACTGCGGTTCCAATTCTGGCTCTTTAACTGCTCACTTTCTTGTGTGACCCAGGGTGAGTCCCTCCCTCTTTTCTGGCCTCAGTTTCCTCATATGAAAAAGCAGAAAGTCTTGGACTGGGTGATCTCTGAGGTTCCATCAAAGCCTCCAGGCTGGGAGGTGGGGATGAGACGGAAATAAAGGGGAGTGTCCCCTACCCCCGCCTGCAGTGAGGTCACTGCTGTGACCAACCTGGCCAGGGAGCCCACGAGCACAGGTTCAAAGAACACACTGTCACTTCTATACCACAATGAAGCCAAGGAGGAATAAATAAAAAATAAAACGTGAAAGCTCCAAACACTCAAGGCTTCTCATGCCGGTCACAGGAAAAGCCTTTTGTGGTTTGTCAATTAAAATTAACCACCATTAACATATTTTTTCTGGTTGGCAGAAGGCCTAAGGCCCCATATTTGAGCCCTGCAGCTGACAACTGGCTCAGGGGGGATGGGGGGCACCAGCACAGAAGGCGCTACCGTTTAGGCCTTTTCTAGGATGCAGAATAACAATCAACGTGGGCTGGATTTGGCATCCAAAGGATCTGAGTTTAAATCCTGCCCCACATACTTAATGGGTGAACAACTGTGGATAAATCGTTTGCCCTCTTAGCTGTTTCTTCACTGGTAAAATGGAGGTAATAATAATGCTTATTTCACAGGGTTATTATGGAGGTCCAACAAATGACATATATAATGCGCTTAGCAAAACCTCAAGGCGGTCTAAATGTTGGCTGTTATTGTTGTTATTAGGAGTTATTGGTATGGCAGAGCCACCCTGGGAAGCAGGAAGTCCCATCCTCAATTCACAGGTGAGGAAATGACTTGCCCAAGGTCACAGGGTTCGCAGCAGGGAGACCAAGGTTTGGCTTCGGCCCCGCAGAGCTCTCACACACCGACACCCCAAAAGGCTCAGCCTGGCCGTGCAGCGCCGGGGGTATGTCTTCCCACAGGCTGGTGCTGGCCTTGGGCGGTGGCCAGGAGCTCCAGGGGCTGCGGAAGCCTTGATGAGGCTCTGTCCCGTGCAGTGCAGCGCCGGGGGTATGTCTTCCCACAGGCTGGTGCTGGCCTTGGGCGGTGGCCAGGAGCTCCAGGGGCTGCGGAAGCCTTGATGAGGCTCTGTCCCGTGCAGTCAACGGGCGCAGCCCTGGGGGTGCTCTCCAGCTCAGGCAGGCAGCAGGACGGGGAAAGAGGCGCCCTCTGCTCCCCTGCACCGTCTTCCTTCGAGGTCCCTGTTTACTAGGGATACATGTTGCTGCTCCCAAGAGAGGGCAAGGTGAAAAGCAAAGTCTAACAGCAACCTGACGCAATTTACATGGAGAAAAAAAATGAAATCCTCAAAGATGGGAGCAGCTTGTGGAAATGAGAAGGCCAGAGAGCCGCGCACAGCCCTCCTCCCCTGCACCCCAGGGAACAACAGAAAATCTCGACCCCACAAAGGCTTCTAAAGGCAAAAACCCAACTTGGGATGTGGGCAACCCCTTCCCTCACGCCCTGCCCCAGGCACCTCTTTGGGGCTGTCTTCACTACAAGCCCAGAGAGGGAAGGGGCCTAATTCTGACACCGCCCCCCAACCATCCTCGGAAGCACTCCATCCCACTTCTGTCCGGACAGCTTCAACAGTTAGGAAGGTTTTGTTCTCACCACACCCAAATTTGCATCTCTACATCATCTGCTGCCTCTTCCTCAGTTCTGCCCTTGGAAGCCAGGAAGGACCAACTGATCCCTGCTTCTGCACCCTTTGAGGAAGGCCTCCTGTTCCTGTCCACCCTTCCCCAAGTCTTTTCTGGGGAAAAGCTCTCAGACAGCCTGAATTCAAGGCCTATCCCCGACCCTGCCGTCCTCCTCTAGGTGTTCTCCAGGCCCTTCTAAAATGACAGTGCCCCAAACAGAGCAAAGGTCTCTAGCTGTGGCCTGACGACGCAGCAGAATAAACTGCCGCTGCCCCAGGCCTGGGCCACTTAAAAGGCTTACAGCAGCCTTGGCTTTCTAGGTGGTCAAATCACTAGGTAGACGCATCTGGAGTTTGCAGTCCACTAAAGCCCCCAGAATCTTTTCAGATGGATGCCAGTTGGCCATTCTCCCCTCACCTTGAGCTTGGGAAGTAGCTTGTTTTGAATAAATGTAAGCTATTGTGTGTATCCTTACTAAACTTCATCTCACTGGGATTGCATTTTTTACGTTCTAGCCTGTGTGGAGTTTTCTGGGCCCCATCACCCACGGGGTTAATTCCGTGTAATCTGCAGGTCTGATAACCGCCCCCCTACGCCTTTTCTAAGCTACAGAGTGCACCCCACCACATTTTCTTCCACGGTGACTACTCGCTGAGTCAGCACATTCAACCAGTTCTGAGCACACCCAACACTCTCCATTTTCATCAGCGATTCTGCTTGGCTTTGACTCCAAAGGACATCACGCCCCTGTGCTCTGTACTCCCGGGTCCAGCCACCCCCCTCCCCCTTAACGTGTTTCCTTTCCCTATTAGATTGTAAGCTTCTTGAGGACAGGGACGGTCTCTCTTTTTCTTATTTATATCCCCAGCACTAACCGCAGCTCGGCACAGTGCAGGTACTTGACATTTACTGAACTGACTGGCACCACCATCTAGCCCACATCTCTCCATATCTGCCATAAGAACAGCACGAGAGCTCCGAATGCTTCACTCAACTCTGGGTAAATGATGCCCACAGCCTGTCACTGGTCTATCAGCCTGAGGAACCAGGTCAGGCTCAGATGTTGTGCTTTTGATTATGCCACCCATGCTGGCTCTCTGCAATCATGGCTCCGTTTTCCAGATGTTTGCAAACTTTGGCCAGGAAATGAAGTCAAACCCTCAAATCTACCTGTCCTCCTTTTTTGAAACTCGGCACGTTTACCCTTCTCCAATCACGTGTGACCTCCTGCACGGCTGCCGCTGGTCAGAGAGCTGTGACAATGCCTTAGCGCCCCGTCCGCCAGGTCTCTTGGAACCACGGAGTGCAGCCCATCTGGGCACCAGTGGCCACTCTCTTACTATCTCCCTCCTTCTCTTGGGTAGCTATTCCACACTAGCCATTCAGTATTTGTCCTTTCCAAGTGAAAGGAAGCAGAATAATAGAGATTTGAAGGGCTACTCCTTCTCTCTGGTAACTGCTACCACC